ACACTTTGCCCGGGAAAGCAAAGCTATACTCTTGGGATTAGAGGGATTACCAGGAGACTGAATCACTTTCAACCATCCTGCACAGTTGCCTAAATGTGTTTCATAACGAGTCGCCTGTTAATCGTCCGGATTTTGGAGATCGCTATCGCGCGCTTGCTAACGAGCTTATCGATTTTTAACCTATTCTAGAACGATGAATGAACAAAATGGCTGATGAACAATCACCATAGAAATTTCTATAAAATCAGCTTCCTGCATCTGCTGTAAAAAGTCGGAGCTGCCTAGACATTTCCTTCTTTAATATCTAGTAATCATCTTTCAAAGAGAAATAAGTACACGATACTATATATATATATATATATATAAAGTTTGTATAAATATCGTTACTCCTGAAAAAGATTTTAAAAAATACGCTTATCACACTAGTACGTTCTCATAATCCCTTATGTTTTACTTTAGCTCTCATATTTCACATTAGAACACTAATATCGCCTTATAATTTACATATGTAACAATGTAAAATAAAATAACTTTCTTGTTTCAAAATTAATGTAAAATGTCAAGATAGTTATACTTTGCATGCGGAACAAATGACGTTTCTGAGACGTTACTATAAGATAAGAAGTTACGAGTTCTCGGAACTCTGCGTCTTATAGAGTTCGCTGTACAGTTTTTGACGCGTAATCTCTTTGAGAAAATTGTCGGATTTCTCGCACCTGTGGTGGACAAGCATCTTCAGCTCGTGGAACAAGCAGTAGACGACAGAGAGTGGAGCGTGGAGAGGGCGCGATTCAAGCTGGAGATAAACAATCCGTAATTTCCGGTCCGGCAATGGAGCGGAGAGGCCGTGATGGAATGGCCAAGTTTTTCCCCGGTTTGCTAAACGATCCGCGTCAATTATGCGAAACTAGCGTAATGAAAGCTGGCTCCGTGGAAACCAGTCGAAAACAAACTCTGAAAGGATCCACCTCCGCGCAGGCAACCCCTAATCAAGTCCCGTTTAATAAAACGCCCGACTCCCTCTGCCCCCAAGCCGCCCCCCCCCCTCGACTCGCCCGTCTCTCGGCTGGCTCCCCGGCTAATCTGACTTTGATTAAACTTTTAGCGACACCTAAAAGCGTGCCGCCCGATAGAACCGCCTCGTACACGCGTCCCCGATACAGGGTGGTGGCTAGAGGCGAGCCCGGCTGGTCGTGTAAGTCGATTTTTATTACGTTCCGTCGCATACATTACACGGCATCGGCGGAGACACGCGGTAATGGGCTTATCGACGCCGCCGGATTACGGTAATAAACTTCCGGAGACGCGGAACCGCGCGAGGCATCGCGGCGCGGCGCATGGTTCGCCGAAATCCACCAGTTGAGGAAAAAGAAAAGGAGTGGGAATAGAGTATAGTATAGGATATAGTATAGTATATAGTATATATATATATATATATATATATGTACTATATAGTATATAGTATATAGTATATAGTATATATAGTATATATAGAGTATAGTATATAGTATATAGTATATAGTATATAGTATATATATAGTATATAATATATAGTATATATATACTATATATTCTGGTATTCTAAGATTTTCGAGGTCTCGTTGAAGTACAGAAAGTCTAATGAGACGTTGCAATATTGCTTGCAAATTTGGAATATCGGGTGCCTTCGAAATTATTGTGCAAATAGTGGAATAATAAATGCATATTAAAATGAGTCGATGAATAAGAATATTATTGATTTGTTTCATGCCCTGTTGCCGAGAGAATGTTGATTTCGGAAAAAAAAATTCGGAGAAGGTCGCCGCAGAGAAACTTCAATTACATTAAAATTGGAATACGAAAATAAAAATGACAGACACATGACTGTTTAGGAGAGTCTACTGCATCGATATCATTTTTAAAAAATGTATTCATTGTTGTAATTAAAGAGAACAAATGATCCGCACCGTTTTCCCCACGAGATATAATGTAAAATCCAGCACGAATCAACTGCTGCGGGAAATGTCAAAATAGCGCCACTATACGTAGTGGCGGAACGCTCAAACTGTTCGACAAAATTGCTCTATGATGATAATGCTTAGGGTTCAATATTTTGGCACTAGTGGCGTCATTATACTAAAACCGTAGCCAATGTAGATAACGTAAATTTTTATATTATCATAGATCAGGTATCAGCGCGGACGAAATATCAGCTCGCCTGTGGTATCAGATTCATGGAACTGAAGCGCAGACGAGGTACAGAATAGACAAATCATTTTATGGACTTTCGTGGCCCATTGCGACTGCTATACCGACGTAAAAATTCAACGATGATTTCAGCGTCTTCCATTTATAGATAACGAGCACTTCTTGAAATATTTCGAAGTTAGTAGAACTAAACGGCACACGTGTGTAAGTACTTTTAGAACTAGAACCGCTTGATAGACAATTATTGTATGCGATGTGCTTCGATCTCAATTCCTACAATGATTTTTGTCGTGCCAGGATTTCTCGTCCTTTAGCAGTGCGTACCTATACGGGAAATGAGAGATTCTTGAGATCATTTGAAGTAACTTTTTCCTTGGCGCAAATGCAATCCGCGGTTTTGTTTACGAGTTATTAACGAAAAACACTGACCAATAAGAGGTGAGATCGGCTGGTACAAGACGGCCGAACTAATAAGCAATTGAAGCGCAGTTCCGTTGATTAGCTCGGCCGCTTAGCGCTAGGCGAGCTCGCCGCTGATTGGTCAGTGCTTTTGGTTATTAACTCGTAAACAAAGCCGCGAATAGCATTTGCGCTAAGGAAAAGATTACTTCAAATGATCTTAGGAACCTCTCATTTCCCGGAAGTAACATAATTTTAGAATACTCTAAAATTATATATGTAATCATATTTTTTAAATTTGTTATTGCTGTATTATGAATAATAGATATACAAACTATAATCGTTAACAAATTGATATATGGATAAAGGGATTGCGAAAGATTATAAAATAATTAATGCCTAGAGAATAATATAAGCTTATTATACAGGGTATCAACGAAGAATTTTATAATACATTTTAAATATAATATAATTTAATTATATAATAATTTTATATATATAATTAATTTTTAATTAATTTATAATATAATTAATAATTATTATATTGNTATATATATATATATATATATATATGTACTATATAGTATATAGTATATAGTATATAGTATATATAGTATATATAGAGTATAGTATATAGTATATAGTATATAGTATATAGTATATATATAGTATATAATATATAGTATATATATACTATATATTCTGGTATTCTAAGATTTTCGAGGTCTCGTTGAAGTACAGAAAGTCTAATGAGACGTTGCAATATTGCTTGCAAATTTGGAATATCGGGTGCCTTCGAAATTATTGTGCAAATAGTGGAATAATAAATGCATATTAAAATGAGTCGATGAATAAGAATATTATTGATTTGTTTCATGCCCTGTTGCCGAGAGAATGTTGATTTCGGAAAAAAAAATTCGGAGAAGGTCGCCGCAGAGAAACTTCAATTACATTAAAATTGGAATACGAAAATAAAAATGACAGACACATGACTGTTTAGGAGAGTCTACTGCATCGATATCATTTTTAAAAAATGTATTCATTGTTGTAATTAAAGAGAACAAATGATCCGCACCGTTTTCCCCACGAGATATAATGTAAAATCCAGCACGAATCAACTGCTGCGGGAAATGTCAAAATAGCGCCACTATACGTAGTGGCGGAACGCTCAAACTGTTCGACAAAATTGCTCTATGATGATAATGCTTAGGGTTCAATATTTTGGCACTAGTGGCGTCATTATACTAAAACCGTAGCCAATGTAGATAACGTAAATTTTTATATTATCATAGATCAGGTATCAGCGCGGACGAAATATCAGCTCGCCTGTGGTATCAGATTCATGGAACTGAAGCGCAGACGAGGTACAGAATAGACAAATCATTTTATGGACTTTCGTGGCCCATTGCGACTGCTATACCGACGTAAAAATTCAACGATGATTTCAGCGTCTTCCATTTATAGATAACGAGCACTTCTTGAAATATTTCGAAGTTAGTAGAACTAAACGGCACACGTGTGTAAGTACTTTTAGAACTAGAACCGCTTGATAGACAATTATTGTATGCGATGTGCTTCGATCTCAATTCCTACAATGATTTTTGTCGTGCCAGGATTTCTCGTCCTTTAGCAGTGCGTACCTATACGGGAAATGAGAGATTCTTGAGATCATTTGAAGTAACTTTTTCCTTGGCGCAAATGCAATCCGCGGTTTTGTTTACGAGTTATTAACGAAAAACACTGACCAATAAGAGGTGAGATCGGCTGGTACAAGACGGCCGAACTAATAAGCAATTGAAGCGCAGTTCCGTTGATTAGCTCGGCCGCTTAGCGCTAGGCGAGCTCGCCGCTGATTGGTCAGTGCTTTTGGTTATTAACTCGTAAACAAAGCCGCGAATAGCATTTGCGCTAAGGAAAAGATTACTTCAAATGATCTTAGGAACCTCTCATTTCCCGGAAGTAACATAATTTTAGAATACTCTAAAATTATATATGTAATCATATTTTTTAAATTTGTTATTGCTGTATTATGAATAATAGATATACAAACTATAATCGTTAACAAATTGATATATGGATAAAGGGATTGCGAAAGATTATAAAATAATTAATGCCTAGAGAATAATATAAGCTTATTATACAGGGTATCAACGAAGAATTTTATAATACATTTTAAATATAATATAATTTAATTATATAATAATTTTATATATATAATTAATTTTTAATTAATTTATAATATAATTAATAATTATTATATTGTATTATATATAATTATAGTATATATTAATATTTTATTATTATATAATTATAATCTATGATTATCACAATACTCTATACATTGTATATTAAAGTTGAAATGCTCTATTAAAATATGATGAAATGTCGGCAGTAATATTAGTTGCAACCACAATTCGACGCAGATGACAGCACTAGGATACCAGCTGTGGGGTTGCTGCCTCCTGCACTCCACACCAGATGGATATCTTCCGGTAAGGGATGCCAATTGTGGGAACTACCTTCACCCTTTCCGACATCCTCGCGTCTATGGCGGGACCCGCAAGAAAAGCCTTACTGACCTTCCTTTAGCGGGACCAGGACGAAACGCTTTCCTTTCTTTTCTTCTTCCATATTCTACGATTCTCTCTCATTCCATCTATATATATAAAACTAAAATACCTACGCAATACAATATGACCGAAAAATTGACCTCTGCCCTCGCATTTGTCTGAATCCCCACCAGGGGGCGTCAACTCTATAGGGAAAATTGGCAACACTGTTTTGATTACCATCTGAGCTAGCTGCAGACTTGAACGAACTAAAATTCAATATGGCTGCCCACCCGCATGCGCATTTGGTGAACTATGATAGACTATGTGCCGTCGCAACGTTATTCCCGCCACTCTGAGCGAAGCCAAGCAGAACCAGTGAACTGCAGCGAACAAATATACTGGACATAAATAGTAAGCTACACTCATTTTTATTTTCCATAGACTCTTTATAGTAGTATTTAAAGTATAATATACTTTTGTTTTAGATTCTTTTATATCGATCCATCCTATCATCGACAACGTAGCAGCGAAGACGTCGCAGCCAGAAGCAGCAAGAACTTTGGAGCCAGAAACAGCAAAAACATCGGAGCTGATAAATCATACATATACGTATATGTATAGAGTTCATTAGAAATAAATTTTTTGCTGTATACCGTTATAAAATAGAAAATAAAAAATGTTTTTCTCTCTCTAACTTTGATTATTTTCCTTTCTCCTGTGAATAGTGTAATCAGTACATTTTTTCAAAATTAGGTTATGCACACCATTATGTTGCTTTTTTCAGTTTACGTCATCGTGTACATAACTATCTTCGAAAAAAATATACTTAATACATTCTGGCTCTAGAATCTAGAATTTGAATTACTGCTTTTAAACCGCCATATTGAATTTTATTTCGTCCAAGTTTGGAGCTACTTCAGATGGCAGTCAAAACAGTGCCTCAAAACTTTATAAGTCCGAGCATGGAGAGCAGTCCCGCATGTTATTAAAGTGTAACATGCCCAAAGTAAACAGTACATTTGTTTACAGTAAATTTACTGAATAAAATCATTTAATAATGCCGGTAGATTTAGGATTTGTGGAGAAGTGTGACGCGTGGAGGTTGGAATGTAGATTTTTTCCAAGTAAAGTCGGTGGAAAACCAGCGTGGCTCAATTTGAAAGATATTCCTGGAGAGAAAGATCTTCGATGCGAATATTGCCAAGAGCCTTGTATATTTTTATGTCAAATTTACGCACCTTACGAAGACAATGAAACTGCGTTTCATAGGACTATATACGTTTTTATATGCAAAAAACCAGAATGTTGTAAATTGAATGAAAATGGGAACTTAAAAGTTTTCAGATCTCAGTTACCAAGAACAAATGAATTTTACTCATCTGAACCACCTGTTGAGGAACCTGATTGGAGGACTGACCTCAGTACGTATTTTTCGAAAATTTCAAATATGTTCGAATAAATTGATCAATATTTTTTGAATGATTTCTCTCTCTGTCAATTTAAAATAACTTACATATAAGATTAAATGTTCCTAGATACAAGCAAATGGGTGAAAACATGTCAGGTGTGTGGAATATACGCGTCTAATCACTGTTCTAAATGTAAGCAAGTAAATTATTGTTGTCGCATACATCAAGTTTTTGATTGGAAGTCCACTCACAAGGAATCTTGCGGTACAAATCGGTATGTGGTAACCAACAGCAAACTTTTATTTCCTGAATATGAAATAATAATAGAAACAGAAGATGAGAAAGAAGATAACAATGAAATTAATTCTGAGAAGGAGAAAGAAGAAATTGAAAAGTATGAAAACATGTTGGAGAAAGGTGAAACCGGTACTTTTCAAGATGAAGATGTACAAACTGAATTGTTAAGCATGGCTAATCAGAAAGAAGATGAAACATTTGCTGAATTTCGTTTAACTGTTGACAAGTATCCTGATCAAATTCTGAGGTAAACTATTCATCCTGTCAAGAAAGGAATGATGTAATTAAAACCTTTAATTTCTATGTTTACAGATATGACAGAGGAGGAAAGATTTTGTATATATCTGGAGAAAGTAAAATTGATGAGGTGCCAAAATGTTTAGAATGTAATCAAGAGAGGCAATTTGAATTTCAAGTAATATAACAATATTAAATTCTATTTACCTTTTTTAATACATTGCACATTTTTATGCAAGGTGATCCATTTAACTTTACTCGGAGGAATATTTCGCGAGAGATTAAAGTTATCAAAAATGTATTCCTACAAAAATTGTTTGGTATAGAGGGGGATGTTAGATGATGTGGACAATATTCCTACAGGTGTAGTGGCAGATATTGAAGTTAAATTAATATTTTTAAAAGGAACCCTGTATTTTTTATCCATAATATAACAGCATTTGTTGAGATGAATACAATGACGTACCACATGATATCATTCCATGTAGTAAAATGACATAAATGAAATAGACGAACGCAAGTTACTAGCTGAACTCTATGTGACTGTATCGGCTAATGACGTATCAAATGACGCTCTAAAAATGATCAAGCATCTTACCTTTTGATTTCTACGCGACTATGCTATACTTTTTTTTTGTCAAGTGGTCTTCTTATAGATAAGATGCGAATATTGTAACAACTTATACATAAATTAATTTTAATTTTTACTTACCGCTATCCAATTTGTATTAGAAAATATTTATCAATTCATTGTCCTTCAACATGCTTATCATCGTTGAGAGTACATATTTGCATTCTCTTTCGTCACGTTTTAGCACCTTTTCTTTTTTGTTTTTGTGATTATTTGACTCATTAATATCACTTCTCAGACTAACTGTTAGAATAAGAAACTGCACAATTGACGTCATTCGATACAGCTAGCTGATACGATCACATAGTCTTCAGCTAACAACTTGTGTTCATTTGTCTCATATGCATTTCATTTATGTTATTTTACTATGTGGAATGAGATATTATGTTATAAGTCACTGTATTCATCTCATCAAACGCTGTTATACTATGGATAAAAAATACAGGGTCCCATTTAAAAATATCAATTTGACATCAATATCAACTCCACCAGTACAACCTGTAGGAATATTGTTTATATCATCTAAAGTCCCTCTCTATACTAAATAACTTTTATAGGATCATATTTTTGATAACTTTAATCCCTCACGAAATATTCCACCGAGTCCACTTAAACGGATCACCCTGTATATTGTGACTTTTTTATCTATTTACAAAAAATAATGTCATCAAGAACAAATTAAATGAAAATTAAGAATGCATCGGTAAAAATAACTCATATACAATTTAGTAAGCTATAATTAATGAACAATGATGCTTTTCAGATCATGCCACAATTATTAAATTTTCTTAACTTAGAGGATACTCTTAAATGTATTGACTGGGGCATTCTAACAATATTTACATGTAAAAATTCATGCCCATCCAAAAATGGATACAGTGCAGAATATGTGTGGAAACAAGACATCATAGAAACTAATTCAGACTAAAATGGATAACAAGGAAATGATTTTTTTCACAAGGAAATAAGGAAACAATAACTGTAATTGTGTAATATAAACAGACGTAATATTTACGAAGATAAACTCTTTTTGTTATTTCAAAATAAAATACACATTTGCTTTAACAATAGTTTAATTTGATTTCAAAACCTAAAATTTTAAACAAACATAACATTTTTAATAAAATCATCATTAAATGACTGATGTATGGAAACTAGAGGTATGCGAGAACGGATCGAGATGAAAACGGGATCTTGAAACTCCTGAGTTTTCCGAAAATATTCGGGATTTCTTAAAATACTGGGATTCAAGAACGTGTCTTCTTGTCTTGAATACGGTCCTAGTTTTTTTCTGTTGTTGACGTTTACTTTGCAAAATTGTTTATTTTATTTAACTTAATAACTTATAACATTAAACGAAATTAATATACCAGGAAAATAAGGTGTGTATGGTTTGACTTTAAATTCTCGGGTAAAAATAACTAATTTCTCTACGTGTTTTAGTATGTAATAGCTTGGTTCTCTCAACTGCAACATTTTCAGTTGTTGAAAACAGTTTGTCGCTAATTGATTATGTACTAGATACAGCGATGTATCGATTTGCAGTAATTGATAGTATAGGAAATTGAAATGTTTTTAGGAATCCCGAATATTGTCGAGATCCCGTCGTCCCGTCCCAAAAGCATCGGGTTTCAGGACTTTCCGGGTTCTCGCACACCTCTAATGGTACTTGATTCAAAATATGTAAAAAATACGTCGATGTGATAAAAAATAATTCGTCATTAAGTAAAAACAAAAATTAATTCCTAAAACTATTTAATTACGGAACATCAATCATTAATACAATTTTTCTATTAAATGAAAATTTGATAAAATAAAATAAAAAGTCTGTAATACTTTAAAAAATAATAAAAACTAGTAGCATTTTACTAGTATCCAAAATAAACTTAGTATATGTAAGAAATTATTGATTTTACGCAGTTTTGAATATCTATTTAACAGGTACTTCAATCTATTGTGTATTCTAATAAATCTTAGATAAATTAAAATGATTCTGATTTTCTTACAGCTGTATTACATAAAAATCGCATTTCAGTATAAAGTAGTTTTTACATTTTAGATTTCAGTATTGCTGCACTATCTTGACAGTATCGTTTAAAGTATTTTAAAGTAATGCTAGTCACGCCCTTCGTAAGATTCTGAGATAGTTCCAGCGGATCTTGTATACACAATGATGAATCAATCCGCAAAAATTGGCATTTCGTAGATGTTTTCAAATGTTCGATGTAAGGTTGCATTTCCAAGGGTAAAACTTTCGATGAAAAACATTTTTTAGGAATTAAAAAGCCCATAAGTGGGCATACAATGTAATTTTGATAGTCAAAATTTGCATAATATTCGAAAAATTCTTGTAACAATTCTGTTATAGTGTGTACATGCATATCTTTACATTTAGGTGATGCAAATCCAATTTCCCAATCTGAAATAAGATTTTATCAGATCGTTAGCTTAAAAACATTATGTAATATCAATTTCTGTTTTGTTAACTAATAGACATTTCTTACAGATTTTAATCTAATCTAGAAAAAAAAAGATATAAGAATCGTCTTTTACCTATTGAAACGAAGAAGAAAGAAAAGTTAAAATTTGTTGAATAGTGTAACAAATCATAGTGAATAGTAAAGAGAAAACGATTCGTGTTGTATTTAACTTACCATCCAGAAATTTAGATTTATTCTTTTTTTTTATTAATTTAGCGACGCTTGGTAAATGTGACTGTGTTTGTAGGTAAAATATAACAAGCCAATAAAGTGCATAATTGATTAAACCATGACCTTCGGGTAAATTGGAAAAGGAAAACCATTTCTTTACAAATAACGTCAATTTTTTGCAAGGTGGACACGCAACGTAATATGATCTAAAAGTTATAATTTACCAAAACAAAGTTGAAGAAATTAACATATTTCGTTATCAATATGATTCATTAAAATAAAGGTAGACATAATACCGTAAAAGCTTCGATTTTTCCACCGCAAGGCCATCTTTAAATGAAATATCGCAGTCTAAGTGTCTTGGTTTATATATTAATTTTATTATAGGCACTTGACATTCTGTTAATGTTTCTTTTATTAACCAAACATCTTCTGTGCATATAGCTTTTTCCATGTTTAGAAGATCTCTTAATACCTCCTTCTTGTTTCCATAATATGTATTTTCTATAAAACATGTAATATTAATAGTGCTAATACTTTGAAATTTTAGAAATTTATGAATTATTTGAAGGATATATTTACCACAATCAATGTATATGTCTATGTCACTATTTGTAAATCCAATTCCAATCATTCGGGAACCAAATAAAAATGCTCTAGCTTTTGGAGAGAATGTTTTTGCTCTAGTTTCCAAAGATTTTCTCACCTTCTCTTGAATATTGTCCTTTGTTACAACTTTTGTTTGTTCGAATAAAATTTTCACAGTACTATCAACTTCTGTTAACAATTTTTTCATACATTCAGGGAGGTCCTCGACCATAAAATCTTTACTTTTTAGTAAATATTTGTGTATTACATCACTACAGTGATTCTCATATGAATTTGATGTACTCAACCACAAGGTAGCACAAGGAATACAGAAGTCAAATTTACAATGTTGTAGGTTTTTGTGTTCTTTTACAATATGTTCCATGAATTCTATCTTATATCTTGTATTCTTTTCGCATATAACGCAAGCAAATCTTTGTATACTATAATATAAATTACTGAAATCTTCCAATATAGAATCAATAGTACTACTTATGCGTGTACGACATTCTTTATGATTTAGTTTGTGCGCTTTGCTTTTAATATGAGTACTAAAATTATTTAAATTATTTGCGAATTTAATATTACAAACATAACATTTTATAGTTTCTTTTGCAAACATTCTCACATATTGTTCTATCCAATCTTTGTTACTGCCATCAACTTGAATTTGGGCAATATGTGCTTTATGTGCCAACATACGAGTGTGTTCATATAACAAATATAATTCCTTTGAAACTTGTGTTTTACAGGCTATGCAGAAAAAGTTGTCTGTGTCATGTTGAATAATAAATTTAAAATAAAATTTAATGTCATTAATTTTCTCCTCTGTTAAGGTATACATTTGCTTTTCAAGTTCAAGATACTCTAAACAGTAAAATTTGTTTAAATATTCACTTAATGTAGCTTTTTTACGCTTTGCTTTGTTTTTAGTGTTACTAACAATACATGAAGAATTAATCTCCTTCATAAGCTGTTCATGTATATTCTTTGGTACAATCAAGTCTTTATCACATACATTTGAACTTTGAGATTTGTTATCAGTAATAGATAGTTTGTTAAAAGTATCTGTTAATGGTGATATCTTAATATCGACATTATCCTTATTCTCTTGGTCACGTAAAAACAGTTCAATTTGCGGTAAATGCATTTTTTTTTTATAATGTTGAATTAAACTGTGAATACCGGCCATTTTTTAACTGCAAATTGAACACAGATAGACAATATTAGTTCTTATATTACTTAAAAATCTAATGTTTAAACTATCGAAGCATAAGAAGCACATTTCTTTCAAACAGTTCTGGTTGTTTCTACTTTCATGTGTTTCAAAGCATTGCTTAAATTTATTAAATGAGTCTTCTGTTTTAAATGTTGAACAATTGAAGAATTTTCCTGTATTATTGATTGACACCATATACATTTGTACAAAATCATACCATCTTTGGAACAATTATGAAAGTAAGTATTTTTATGAGTTTCTGTGCTAATATGTACAAATAGATCATTATTATCATCTATTTCATTTTTAAAATTGCTAGTTATTGGCTTTAAACTTGTATTTACATTTCTTTCAGAATTTTCTACATTATTTTCATCTGCATTGTCCTTTGAATTTATTCCCTGATTAGTTGCCACTTGATTGATTGACACTTTCCATTAATATGTTGTAAATAATCATGTATTGAATTCATTTTTCTATTACGCACTACATAAAAAATTGTGTCACATCTAGAAAGGATTTCATGGCTCGATAATGTTTGTTTACTCTCTTCTGAACAAATTTTAATCTCAGATAATTTTAAATTACTTTGTTGTTTCTTTGATTGTTTTAGTGCTACAATGGCTGCAACATGTTGCTTTCCTTTTACATGTAGCAACATGTGATCACGTCTTGTTAAAGAACATTTACAAATTTTACATTGAAATTTGCCAGTGCTAAGTTTTTTAACATTAACATCTAATATATACTGGTTCTTATGAACCTCTTCATTTGTATTTTTTGATGATTTAATGACTACATTGACATTTTTAGTTTTTGTTTCACATGAATTTGACCGGATGGTACTTATTACTGTTATATTGCATTTTTACAACAACAAATTAATAATTTAATATTATTTAAAATTAAACAACACTAATGATGAAATAAACTCAAAATGAAACATCTATTTATGCATTTTCGCTTGATGGACATTACAAATTGAATTCTACATTTTTTCCCAAAACTTTACAATGTTTCATTATCATACATGTATATAATCATAATATTGTTTTTCTTATGCTTCTGTACTTGCGACACTACTTCGCGCCAACTTTTTGTAAATTTATGTTACCAATACTTCTTTTCAACTATGTAATATTAAATTCTGAAATACATTTGTGATATTTTTAACAAATGTATAAATTGCTCTTCCCTTGTAATGCATGTAAATTTTGAACATTTCATTTTCAAAATAAGATTTAAAATAAAATAAAGTTGAGAACTTACAAAGTAACACACTAACTTCGTTCACTAAATGAGACAGAAGTATAAATACGTAAAGGATATTGCATTCGTATCATCCTTATCATAAATGTCGGGGAATTACAGGCTGATTCATTCGAACTGTATGGGATGTGATGACAAAACATTATGTATCGTATTTCTAAGAATGCTGAGTGGAGAGATAACAAACATTAGGGCTGATTTGAGTTCAAGCTCCATCATGTTCATGAAAAGTCAAAGTTAAAACGCAGTGTGTTGTAAAATGTTTTTTTTTTATTTCATAACACAGTTCTGCCCGACCGAGAAGCACAATCATTTTACTTTTTCTGCCCTTTCCCTTCAGCCAATAGGGATAAGGTAGAGAAAATCGATCATAATTTATGATGAAAGCCCGCCAAAATTCAGAATGTGGGAAAATGGTAGAATGAGAAAATAATAAGTGATATTTGTCAAGTACTCTTATAAGAATTTTCATCGTCCACTGGAAACTTTTATTAGCGTTATATTAAAGTATGTCATATAACTCTAGGATCAAAATTACATTTTGTAATTCAATGTTTCCTGTACTTTTATTGAGAATATCATGACAATATATATAGTACATGTTTTCTGCACCAGTCTAGGCAACTGGATCAAACTAATAAAATCTCCTCTTTTTCAGTGAAATTAGACAATGTTAGGGACTTTATTTCAGTGACAACATAAATCATGAAAATCATATTTTGTAGGACGACAATTTCTACTAAATTATTTAAGAATTATTCTCAAAGTGAAGAGTCTCGAAATACAAAAGAGTCAGGAGAATATTGAACATAATTGCAAACTGGGATATGTGTTTGGTGAATTGTAGCGAAAGAAACTATCACGAATATTTCACAACCTGGTTATCGTTTCGTGCAAAGCAGATTACTTCAAGTAATTATACGATCGCGAGTTCGATACATATGATATACAATTTAACGTCGGTTCAGTTTTTGTTATCACATTTCAAATTAAATGTTGTTTCTCCCAGTTGCTGTGTATCTAATCAAGTCTTCGGTATAGAATAACGCATCAATTATAAGTAAGTATATGTAATGATTATACAATTTACGAAAAACATTTCTAGGTTAAATGGAACGGATCTTGTTTAATAAAGGGCACAGTTGGTTATAAATATTCAGAAGTTCGTAACAAATTTATCAAGACTGTTGGAGGAATTTAAACGGAAAATATCTACCCTGCGTGAGGTGCTACTACTTTATTATATGCTTCGAATATTATATTTTTCTGACTTTTAAATATATCCATGGCACTCTCTCGGATAAATTGTAAAATCAACTGTACCCTAATCAGAACTACGTAAGCGAAAAAAGACGACGATCCTTCGATGATCGAACGAGATTTATCAAGAAACATTATCTAAAGATTATGTAAAATTTTTAATGGTAACAAAGTATGCAGAATTAAAGGTATTCAAACTTTTATTACACAAAAATTTTACTTGTATTATTTGTATTTTAAAATTGAATTAGAATAATGGAGAAGTTCATAGGAGCTCATCAGCTAAAAGGGATACTAAAAAATTTTCCAAGGAATATAAAGTTTTCCTTTGCATACGGATCAGCTGCGTTTAAGCAGTTAAGCAATCAGTCCAATAACATGTTGGATCTTATTTTTGTTGTTCGTAATGTAAATCAATGGCATGAAGAAAATTTAGAACTCAATCCAAAACATTATGCTCAACCTTTAAAGTTGTTTGGACACAGGGCAATTACTAATGTGCAAGAAAATTGGGGTGCTAAACTGTATTATAATACATTAGTTAAGATGGCAGGAGGATATACTATCAAATACGGAGTAATCTCTGAAGTTTCGCTGATAGAAGATTTATTAGATTGGAATGATTTATATTTAGCAGGAAGACTACACAAACCAATTAAAGTATTAGTGGAACCAAATGGGCAGTCTCAACTACCTACAGCTTTAGTACAAAACTTACATTCGGCTGTTCATGCTGCGCTTTTGTTGTTACCACAACATTTTACAGAAATTGATTTTTATAAGACTATAGCCAGCTTGTCTTACAATGGTGATTTTAGAATGACCTTTGGTGAAAACAAAGATAAAATTAATAATATCGTTTTGCCGCAACTAGCGCAATTTAGACAATTATACAGTCCGATTTTGCAGCATTTCGAAAATTATGTGGATATTCCAAAGTTAGATCAAATGACTGTCACCTGCCATCAAGATACAAATCCAGCAACAAAGATACATCACTTGAATCAATTGCCTAGAACACCACAGATTAAACTTGTTAGAGCCTGGTCGCAGGGTCCACGATCAAAGGATACAGAAGATTGTTTACGTACGATTGCATACGATCCCGAATGCAGTGAAATATTAGAGGAATGTTTAAAGCAAATTGTCTGGAGATCCAGTGTCACACAAAGTCTGAAGGGGATCGTTACTGCTGGCCTTGTGAAATCTGCTAAGTATAGCGGAGCAAAGATAATGAAGATGTTACAATCGAGTCCGCAGACTGATTTGCTACCGAAAACGGAGTCGGATCAGAGTAAAGTCAAAAAATTTGTAGAGACGGTGAAGAACCAGACACAGCCGAAGGAAACAAACAAGCGCATAGAGTAGTAATTACCATCCCTTTTAGTTATACTTTAATTCTGTCATATGTACTATTGTTCACACAGCTATTGTTTTCAATAAACTAGTCCAGTTAAATTGTGACTACTTTTTTTTTAGGTATTGATTTAATGCCCTGGCGATTTTAAAATACTGTTACCTAAACGGTCTGCAGTGTTCTTGAGTTTGTTGCTTTTTCTGGCTAGCATAAACGTTAGCGGGCGTAAATCAGCTACCGTCTGCCTGCGTTCATTAATCTCATAAAGTATTATATGTATACACTGTAATGTTACCTCTGTTGAAAATGAAATTTATGGTACTTTCAGTGACTAATTAAATCTTGACAACAATGGATTCCGATTCTGAGAGTCAAGATAGTGACGAGGGCCGACGATTTCGTTTCGAAGCCACCCGGAAAGATAACGTGCGACCAGAACCGAAGCTTGGGAAACGTGCGAGGTCGAAGCCAGAGTACAAATCCGACCATGACGACGTAGAATACAAAGAGAGAAAAGAGAAGTCGAAGCACGACAGCAGTCGAAGAGAACGCAGATCCTCGAAAGAGCAAGAAGCCGATGACAAGGACCTCAGGCACGCCTCGAAGTACTCCAAGCATAATGTTCACGAGGTGAAAAGCTCTAGACGCGAGAGCAGCAAAGAGGGAAAGGATTATAAAAGCGCGAGGGACGCTAGCACGGACTCCAGAACATTCGCTTTGTCTTCCAAGCAAAAGCTAAGAGACGCGAAGCTGCACAGGAACCGGGACCGGAGCGAGCACAGGAAGCACAGGTCTCAGGATCGGTCGCACAGTAGGAACGAGGACGACAGGTCTCAGAACGACAAATACAGGAACAAATCGCACGAGAAGTACAGGCACCGGTCTCGCGACAGAAGCTACCAGTCGCACAGGCAGAGATCGTCAGATCACGGCAGATCCCGGGGAGAATTTGAGAAGCACAACTCGCATAAGAGAGCTTTAACGAAAGTGGACACAGACCAACGACTGCAGGAAGTCTCCTCACCCAAGAATATTGAGCAGAACCGCAGTGACAACGAGTTGCCGGCAACGAGAGACTTGTCGGCTGAGAGTCATGAGTACAAAGAGTTAGATCTGTCCGAGTTCGATGTACTGTCCGAGACAGACGAGAACTTGTCCGAGGACTCGGATGCGAAGGACAGGTGTACGTTATCGCGGTACCATAAGAGCAAAACGAAAAAGAGAAATTCGAATGATGCCCATGAAAACTCGAGGAAGAGACAAGCGACAGAGAACGAACACTCGGACGGCTCTCCTAAGGTAATTGCGAGGAAGGACGTCTCGTCTTATGGTTCCAGCAATAATAATCCTGGTGCCATTTCAGATTCCGCGTTTGGCGCCGCGTCGTCTGTATTAACGGGATCAATCATGGAAGATCACTACAAATGCTCCAAACTGGATGCAACAGAAAAAACGATCGATCTGAATAGTAAAGAGGACAAGTTGAGCTCTGGTGAGACAACTTCCTTGCGCCTTAGTCATCGCGATTCCCCAGAGTCTGCGAAAGCATCGTCTTCTGACGAGGACACAGCTTACGGTCCGATCTTACCGCCGCAATTGATCACAGATCGTGCTGACGATGCCAAACCAGCCAAAAGTCCGAGCTTCATAGGACCTTGCTTGCCGCAGAATTATGTGCGAGACGAGACCGAAAGATTCGAAGCTGATGCGATGGATCATAACGATAAGAATGATTCCGATACCGAAATGATTTTCGGTCCAGCGTTGCCGCCGCATTTGTTAGAACAGAAGCAGAGCAACGGAACTGAAGCGAAACTTATAGGTCCTGCTCTTCCAAGCGCAATTAAACCCTCCCACGACGAACAGATAGAACAATCAGATTCCGAGAATGAAGATGCGATCGGCCCGTTGCCGGTCGACCATCCTGCGCTGCGAAGTAGTTACATTTATAGAAAATTGGAGCACAGGGCACAACGAATTAAAAATGAACAAATGAATGAGGTAAGCTCTATTACGATTCTCAAATCAGGATAAAAGAAGGTATGTAACAGCCGATAACGTTTTAGGATAATAGTACTCTGAGTCAGCGAGAAGAATGGATGACAGAATTGCCACCAGCACAAATCAGTAATCTGCAACTGGGTCCACGGAAGTTCCGCGTTAGAGCTGGTCCCGACATGTCTGATAGATCATGCTGGACGGATACACCGACTAAGAAAGCTGAGAAACAGAAACAAAAAGTCAGTGGAATTTTCATAAAATAATATTTTACCATTTGATTTGACCTATTCTGTACATCAGTGACAATATAAACACTTTGTTATTTCAGGAAGAAAAAGAGTTCTACGGCTGCCAAAAATCCTCCACAAAATTACCTGAGAAAAGTTTTGAAACCGAAGCCGGAAAAAGCAAAAAACGTGAGAAATCGCTTTTGGAGATACATCAGAGCAAACTTCAAAAGAAAAAAAAGGTATGTACTGCGTTTCTTACGAAAGAAGGACACTTCTTTTATATCTAAATGGTGATTGAAATGATTTCAGAAAGAAGAGAAGGAAGCAAAATTGACTGGACAGACTGTTAGAAGACCATTCGACAGGGATGTAGACTTGCAGGTGAATAGATTCGATCAGGCTCAAAAGAGTGCTATCATAAACAAAGCACGATGCCTCGATGATAGGTTCTCTCGCGGAAAAATTTAAAAAATTTGTAGGAAGTTTAGAAATCTTTACAAGAATTATAAGTTCCGCGAAGCATACATTCGTAATCTGGCTCACTGTAAGCGATATCGCTAATGAGTGCCTTCAACCATGAATAGTTTCAATCGATTTTCCTTTGCGATTGAATCGGATTTCACTTTTGTTCTCTTTTTCGCTTTTTAAACGGTTTACATTGTTCCATTTGTTCGTTGCTCAACCATTTTAGCGATTGTTAATTGTTAACAGTATGACATTTCATCCTCTCCAAACTATCAATTTTCGTATCGTATACATTTTGATGTAAATTCGACCAACGACTCGAGATATGTATAAACAGACACATTACAAATAATACCTTTTTTATTGATTTTGCTGACAATTATTACTACTCGGATCTGTATTGTGTATATATACATTATACTATCGAACTGTATCCTCTGTAAATGACTGTTCTTCATACATGAGCTGTATATATACATGTAACATTTATCTATTGTATCATAAAACATTGTAATTCACGAAAACTATACATGTTAAGCAAAAATACGGAAAATATGAAATCATAAATTACGTACATTCTGTGTACAAACATTGAAGACGATATACGCTTCTCTTTTTTGTTCTTGTGTCACAGACTCAATTTTATCTGTGATAGTTGAAAAAAACTATGTCAATGTACTATGTTTATTGTCCAATGTAACAGTTATGGCTGCACCATGTGTACTTTAAATATACTTTTTAAGAAAATTATATATGTTTCATTTGTTTAACGAATCAAATACACGATTTTTTACTTAATGCCTGAAATTATGAATAAAACTTTACGATAACAATAACAAAGTTTAATCCTAAAATTAAAAATTCCTTTTTCCTAATTGCTTATTTCGATTTGTAACATATGCAGCATTCCTTTATTCGTTTCATTTTTTAAATAATTACATGTTCTGTGGTTCGTGAAACACGAACAAAATTCTGTATTGTACTATGTCCATTATTTTTGACAATAAAAGTGATCCATAAAAATTGTAGTATAACAGTTAATTTCCAATTTTAATGTTTGAATTTGCATGTTTCATTATACGAAAAGCAGTTCCTGACTTTGGAATTATGATGTGATAACGAAAAAAGTCAGTTATAGAGGAACAGCAACAAATTGTGTTGGGTAAAAATTACAAGGAATATTATAGACTATCCACAAATTCGTTATTTTCGTTCATTAAGCTAAAAACTATGGCACAAAAATCAATGCATCACGTCGGAAGCTGACATTTAATTGAATTTAAATTTAGCGCTTGCACCGCGTAAGCGAGAACGTCCGGCAGAGTTCTGTCAGATAGATAGGTGTATGTATGTATGTATTAGTTCTGCGAGAAAATCGAGGAAAACGTCTACATATATCTATGACATCCGCGTGACTTCAGTGATCGGGTCGCGAAAAAAATTACTCGGAAATTGTAGCAGCCGCATAAATTATTCTTGGATTTGCGTACAAATGTTGAGATCGCATTGGTGGCCGTCGTTATGAATGGAACACGCTTCGACGGTAGTGAATCTGACATTTCCTCGTGAACTTTACTCGATAGATTAATTAACGTCGCAGTCGATTTTGAGTCATCGTGCGGTTTCTACGTATCGTTGACGAGATATTTGTAAATTCGTAACCACCTCGCTGTGCGTAGTACGTTCTCGCAACACCAGAAATTGAGAGAAGACGACAGTACAGAGGCGCAAATGACACACAATGTATGAATGGTGTATGCATCGCGTTGCACATTGCTGATTATGTACATACATCGATAAATTACGTCTGTTTTGAACGTGCATGTGTACGTGTTTGCACGAGCGTTGCGAACCAACCGTACGCAGCGTTCTCGCCTGAATGAGAACCAAGAAAAGTGCAACAGTAGTACGTATACAAAATATTCACACATACGGGTCGATCGTTATCCACGGCAAAGAAAATATCTTCAGGGTTAACAGCTACAGGAAAATTTGGTCTCGTTACGCGTACCTGTTGTGTTTGTGTGCGCGCGTGCACACAGCTTCGCTTGTATTTGCACGTCACTTTTATTCGAGTTGATTGATACACATTGAAGAACCTATTATTGTTGTTTATTCAATTGTTCGATGTGTCAAATACATACACACATCAGGACGGTAACTTGTCGAAATAGTCGGGAAGGTACGGGTCCTCGGTGTTTCTGTGTTTACAATTGTTTATCTGGCAATTAAATGACGCAGTCGTTTCTGTACCATTTTATAGCAGGATATTAAATATGAAGTTTTAACTATGCCACTTCGCGAATCTGATATGCGCTCGCTCGGACTGAATTGATCTCCTGTATAGGTTACGAATAAGTTGTTTGTCACGTTATGAGCATAATCAAGTATATCGTGTGGGAGATAATGAAATTGTACAAATAGTTTTTCTATCGCTTCAAATATGGACACTCGACCGCTTTGTCTCGACAAAATTTCCTGATCATAAACGGCAATAGTCACGCAACCAGAAACAGTACAAATTTTCAAAGCACTTCTACGATTTATTAACCGTTTACGAAAGGTTGTTACTGCAGTATGAACTTTTACAGAATTTTCTAAATTAATCGACAATTGTATTTATATGTGATCATGTATGAAAATATGGACAATTAATATTTCTACTTTTACAGAATATTGGTAGCCTGTCCCATGCAATGGAGACATTTCTGTCCATCATCTGAATGTTATGTATAATGAGTTGCTCAAAGGATTTTTTGATGGAATATTGAAATTGACAGAACGGTGGATACTTCCAATATTTTAAAACATGAGACAGTGTTGCTTAAACCATCAACTTCAGCTATGGCTTATGTTCCTTGTCTTTTGCGTTATGTGCAACAAGGCAGACATTTTAGTATTCTCTGCGGCCGCCAGGCATCAAATCGAAGAGGAATTCAGAGATATGCCAGCCAGATTTGGTGGTTTGATATCATCGGAGGGAATTAAGGTATTTATTGTTCAGTTAAAACTTGTACAACAAATTAGAATATGATTTGTGCGTGGGATTGAAATAATTTACAGTAAACACATTTTTTTTCTATAATGCTCATTTTAATAAAAGAACAATTTATCTTCTAAAATTGCTAATAAATTTACAAAAAATGCAAAATAAAAGATATTTGTTTAATTTAATAACTAACATTTGTATTATTTTGTTGTTTTGTTCAATCATAACATAATCATCTACATAAAAGCCTATGGATTAAAAATTTTAAGGGTACTTTTTAGACTTAAATTAGACCTCGTGGTCTACCTTTTCTTATAACTCTCTAGATGACGATTTTTACATTCAATTCTTGTTCTTCTTCTGTATGATTGGCTCATCAACTTGCTTTTGCTCAATCAAGACAATTTGATTTGTCTCTTCAATACATACTTTGTTATTACTGTATGGAATGCTGTAATTTAATGTTTCAGATTCTATGTTGCTCAGCATTATACATCTGTATAATATAGTATATCTTTTTCCATTTTAATAAATTTCATATTCCTACTTTTCACTACCACCTCTTCTGCCATGATTACGTATTTTTTCATTCTTCCAATCCTGTTATTTAACTTTCCTCTTCACTAATACATGTGTTTCAAACCCATTGTGTCTCAACTCTGTTCTGTTATCAAATTGTTGTAAAAATGAAACCATTTATAATAAACATTTTTTTCCATAATACTACGTTTTAATAATCCAAAAATAAGTCTCCTTAAATACTAAAAATATAAAATAAAAGACATTTAATAATTATTAATTAAGGTGTGTAATGCAAATAAATAGGAATTTCATGGAATTCTCAATTGTATTAAATTTGATTAGGGTATGGTGGTGTATGCAGATCCACCTACAGCATGCCATGAGATACAGGGTCCTCCAAATACTACCAATTACAATGGTAATTGGATAGCTTTAATTGCTCGCTATAATTGTAGTTTTGAAATAAAAGTTCGAATGGCACAAAAAGCTGGATACGATGCTGCAATTATACATAATGTTAACAGCAATGAGTTAGGTAAATATACTCACTATTATAATGTACAACAGACATGAATTTGATTATTGTTCTAATAATTATATTTTGATATATTTTCTATTGTTGAATCATAAATGCAATATATTTTGTTACAGAACCAATGTCAGCAAAAGATCCTGTAGGAATTTTTATAGCATCTGTGTTTGTCAGTGAAATCACAGGATTAATTATCAAAGAAAATTATTTATACGATGAGTTGTATTTTGTACTTATTAACGATGATACACCATTTAATATTACACATTTACTTCTACCCTTTGCTATCGTTGTTGGAATATGTTTTCTAGTCATGGTTACTTTTATGGTGAGGACAAACAATAAGCTGTTAAAGCTATTAGAGATTTTATTCATTATGTTTTTGGGAAAGGTTCATATATAATATGCTTATCTTTTAATTACAGATTGTTAGATGCATCAAGGATAGGAGGCAGCAAAGAAGGCATAGATTACCGAATTCGAGTTTGAAGAAAATTCCTACGCACAAATATACCAAAGGTGACCCATACGAAACATGTGCTATCTGTTTAGATGATTACATAGAAGGAGAAAAGCTAAGAGTTCTGCCCTGTGCTCATGGTTGGTATACTCTCCAATGAATTCAACATTTCCACGAAGAAAACAACTAATGACGACGGTACTTTTAGCTTACCACGCAAAGTGCATCGACCCATGGCTAACGAAGAATCGCCGAGTTTGTCCAGTTTGTAAACGAAAAGTGTTTGCCGCGAATGAACAAGTTTTTACCGACGAAAGTGATTCAGATGCTGACGATACGACTCCTTTAATTCGTGATGGTCACCAAGGTAAGCACTGCTTCCCTTGCCAATAATTACTTTTATTATCTCGCACGGTATACAGTATAATATTCGAGTAATCTAGCAAGATCCAATTTTTATAAAAATAAACACTTCTGCAGGTACTCAGGGTGGAACGTTTACACATGAACGTTTAGTGAGAGAAAATATTCTTGGGCGTAGCTCAAGGTCACCGACGCAGCAGCAGCAACAGCAGCAGCAGCAGCAGCAGCAGGATACGAATCATTCTAGCAGCAGCTCAGATTCCGAGCACTATTACGATACATCCGAGGACGGGGCTGGCACAAGCGCCGAAGAGCAGTCAAATACGATTGTTTTCATGGTTACGGACATTTACAGTATAAACGGTAAGGCAGTTCTATGCGCAACCCTTTCACTGCGTCGCCATCGATGATGGTCCAGCGATCCAGTGGTGTAGGTCAGCGTTCCTCAACCTTCTTCATTAGAGCAGACAATATTGAATTATTTTGGAACATTTTGGGAATTACTTGAGGTTGAGAAACGCTAGTGTGGACAGCAGTAGCACCCCTGAAAGCAATCTCCCTTTTGTTAGATCTGTGAAACCGGTTGGACGATTGCGATTGGAAGCAGGGAGAGGGTTATTAGCGAGCTGAAGAGAGCGATGGAACGGTAGTACAAGCTTTATGATTTAATGTTAGGCGAGCTATCGGAGTTGGAGGTTTCCGGGGTCAGCACCTAACCACACATGGTGACATTGTATACGGACACGGAGGAGTTTTCCAGCGATGGTGATCCAGGAAACAGCAAATCGAAATTGACCGGCGTGCCAAGAACAAAACCTTGAATCCAATCGCCATGGATTCAAAAAAAAAGGAAGAAAAGAGAGAGAGAGAAAGAGAGAGAGAGAGAGAGAGAGAGAGAGAGAGATCACGTTTTCCCGTAAGATACTGCTGCTAGGAGCAGCTTCGGTTACTTTCCGTAAGATCTCTATTGTTTGTCTTGACCGAAGTTCGATACCGGGCCACTGGAACGTATTAACTTTTTTATTTAGATCTGGCATCGAATGCTAGAGAACGGAAGAGCATTTTTTTAGCACTTTGAGAGTATCCTTTGTTCACAAGTATTAACGGTTCATATCGAGCGAACGCGAGAAACAATTTGTGAAACGGGACACATCACTCAGATGATTTATGCGAATATCCATCCTTTATCGTCGCACGTTCGTTGCTCTTCAAGCATTTCTTTTTCACACAACTATATTATGAAAGTAAATGAAATTCTTTTATTTTATTGATACGAATATTATTGTTATCATAATCAGCTTATTTTGATTAAAGGTCGCTTATGAACATATTGAAATTGTTACTTGATGGTTAAGACCGCTGATATTACTTCTCTGGGCTGTNGCTAACGAAGAATCGCCGAGTTTGTCCAGTTTGTAAACGAAAAGTGTTTGCCGCGAATGAACAAGTTTTTACCGACGAAAGTGATTCAGATGCTGACGATACGACTCCTTTAATTCGTGATGGTCACCAAGGTAAGCACTGCTTCCCTTGCCAATAATTACTTTTATTATCTCGCACGGTATACAGTATAATATTCGAGTAATCTAGCAAGATCCAATTTTTATAAAAATAAACACTTCTGCAGGTACTCAGGGTGGAACGTTTACACATGAACGTTTAGTGAGAGAAAATATTCTTGGGCGTAGCTCAAGGTCACCGACGCAGCAGCAGCAACAGCAGCAGCAGCAGCAGCAGCAGGATACGAATCATTCTAGCAGCAGCTCAGATTCCGAGCACTATTACGATACATCCGAGGACGGGGCTGGCACAAGCGCCGAAGAGCAGTCAAATACGATTGTTTTCATGGTTACGGACATTTACAGTATAAACGGTAAGGCAGTTCTATGCGCAACCCTTTCACTGCGTCGCCATCGATGATGGTCCAGCGATCCAGTGGTGTAGGTCAGCGTTCCTCAACCTTCTTCATTAGAGCAGACAATATTGAATTATTTTGGAACATTTTGGGAATTACTTGAGGTTGAGAAACGCTAGTGTGGACAGCAGTAGCACCCCTGAAAGCAATCTCCCTTTTGTTAGATCTGTGAAACCGGTTGGACGATTGCGATTGGAAGCAGGGAGAGGGTTATTAGCGAGCTGAAGAGAGCGATGGAACGGTAGTACAAGCTTTATGATTTAATGTTAGGCGAGCTATCGGAGTTGGAGGTTTCCGGGGTCAGCACCTAACCACACATGGTGACATTGTATACGGACACGGAGGAGTTTTCCAGCGATGGTGATCCAGGAAACAGCAAATCGAAATTGACCGGCGTGCCAAGAACAAAACCTTGAATCCAATCGCCATGGATTCAAAAAAAAAGGAAGAAAAGAGAGAGAGAGAAAGAGAGAGAGAGAGAGAGAGAGAGAGAGAGAGATCACGTTTTCCCGTAAGATACTGCTGCTAGGAGCAGCTTCGGTTACTTTCCGTAAGATCTCTATTGTTTGTCTTGACCGAAGTTCGATACCGGGCCACTGGAACGTATTAACTTTTTTATTTAGATCTGGCATCGAATGCTAGAGAACGGAAGAGCATTTTTTTAGCACTTTGAGAGTATCCTTTGTTCACAAGTATTAACGGTTCATATCGAGCGAACGCGAGAAACAATTTGTGAAACGGGACACATCACTCAGATGATTTATGCGAATATCCATCCTTTATCGTCGCACGTTCGTTGCTCTTCAAGCATTTCTTTTTCACACAACTATATTATGAAAGTAAATGAAATTCTTTTATTTTATTGATACGAATATTATTGTTATCATAATCAGCTTATTTTGATTAAAGGTCGCTTATGAACATATTGAAATTGTTACTTGATGGTTAAGACCGCTGATATTACTTCTCTGGGCTGTTCGACTGAGTGGCCCAATGTTTCGAATGAGAAGGACAACAATGACTTTTCTCAGAAGATATTCGGAACGTTGCTTCACTCAGGTCCCGATAATTCACAGCTACTTATGGCCTACGTATTTTATGTTTGCACAGAATTTATTTGGTCCGCATACGTTATTATCTTTTCCCTTGACTAATACATACAGTTCTATTTCGTTTAAGCTTACTTTGTTAGACAGTACAGAAGAATCCTGTGTCTGCTCTCAGCTATTCCATAAACGCTGGACGACCATGATTTTGTAAATATTATTTCTTGCTATATATACATATACATATAACTTGCAGGAGGCCAAAAAGTGGAAGCCTCCTTAGCGCAGAGCCAGCAAAACTCTTTAACAGTAACCAAGGAAGCCGCGAAGCTTTGAGGATATATACATATATCCAACGTTAAACGTTATTACAATTTGACAGAAATTGAATCTGTAGAGTTAAGTTCCGCGAGTACGCCGACAAAGGGTTTTGCCGCCCAGAGACACGATGAATTAACGTTTTACATTTAACAAAGAAAAAATATAAAAACTGAAAAAAATATTAATAAATAATTAAAAAATGTTTTCATACTTCATAATACCAAATCGTCGTCAATCTTTGCATGAATTCTGTACATTCATATGTATAGTGTAAAATTAGCGTTCACTGGCATTTCTTAATCGCATGGAGAGGAGGGACAAAGTGTCCAGAAGCAGTTGGCGAAGTAAATAATCTGCAGATTAGGTTACGGCGTTTCCACTATGTTGTTGCTTGGTCATTGTTAATATAGATCCTTCGGGATGAGAGAAGCGGAAAGGAAGGTTGTATAAACTGTGTAAATAGTATGAGAGATAATATTGTTGTGTGTGTGTATATATATATATGTATATGTATGTATATTGTACAATATCGGAGATATAATTTTTACTCGGTCACCGCGACGTGTCTGATTCGGAAAGAAAGGATCAGGCTTGCTAATGTCTCATCGTTTAACGTTAGGTGTACTGTCCAAATAAAAATAAAAGATATTTATATTTTGTATTTTACATTATGCTGCTGATATCCTTAAGCGGTGCGGCGACAACGCACACGTATTTCAATACTCCAACGAGGTTCACTGAAACCGGAACGAAAATATTCACAAAGAGTTCTTCACTTTGCAATCACCATTGAAGAGAAAATAACAATGTGTGCATGAATCACAACGAGAGGATCAGTGTTGTTTATCGGCGATCTCGTCGAGTACTTTCCCCGGGTTTCCGCGTTTTATCAAGCAAAACAAGTGAATGCACACACTTTTTTCTCGATTATCTCGATTGTTCCCGGGACGGAAAGAATAATAACTATAGCGGCGACTGACCTCGCGCTCTACGTTTTGCAAAGAAAGAAGAATCGAGCATCGGTTCAAGAGAAATGCGTTGGCTTTCCATCGATCAGCAAGCGTTTTCTTCTTCTGGATCGTGTCAACTATGTTTCACATCGTCGATCGATGAAAGGCGCATGCATGTTTCACAATTCGCGATAGTTTATCTTTAAAATTGTATAAGGAGAAGGCTTTGTTCCTTCCTGCTGTTCCAGCGTCGTTGTTTCCCTATATGAGGACCAGAATGTTCACATCATAGAGTCTACATAAAACAAATGTCCTTTATCTTTTTAATTTTCTGGATACGCATTTTTTACAAGATAAAAATCATTGAATACTTTTGTTATTACTGTAGTGCGCGAGTTCTGGTTTAGTCCGTATGCAATCTATTGCGTTCACCGATTTATAATGTTTCTATGAAAAACTGAAAGCATCCTGTTCTACGCAGCACAGGAATTTGCGTTGCAGAACTTCCTATTCCGGCTTCATGTTAAGATCTCCGCTCAACTAACAGCACAAGAACTAGATGACATCAGGCCAGCATCGACATGTTCGGCTGATATCTAGATAATACGAACGTGTCTGATGTTGTTCATGTTGTTGGATGAGCGATGTCCTTTAACATACGTCTACTGCCGCACCAATCTTATGAATATTGTTTGAAGCAATCGTGTGACTCCGAGCCATCGACCGCCATCGACCTCGATAGATCATCTGTCCAATGAGAAAATGGCAAGGAGGGTAACAGTAAACACTATGGTCATGCCATTGCTTCATTTCGGGAACCATGAATGCACCTTGTAAAAGTATTATACAACAGGAACTAGAAATCCGGGTCACCCACGTAGCATGACATTGAACACTATGATATTAAGCTTGTCAGCCCGTTGCTCCATCTCGAAGACGCAGTCCAACGCGTTAATGGATCCCGAACGGATGAATCGCAGATCCGGCGGAAACCGGCGGGATCTATCGATCGATGGGCTACGAGAGCAAGGTTCGGGGTCGGAGGGAAACATGAAAGTAGAGAGGACGGAGAAGAAAAAGGGGGCAACGTGAGGAAGTCATGTTAACAGAGGGAAGAGGTGTTCTAACGGCGAGTTTCCGTGGAGAGAGAGCGAGAGTGGCCGCGCGTGACGGCACAATGCCGTTTCAATTCGTCTCATCGTCGTGTGGAAAAAATCGTTCGAAAACAGGCCGCGATGTCGAGGGAAGATCGTGCTTCGGTTTTCCGCCGGTTTGGCCTCTCCAGGCGCACCGAGCAGCCTCTCTTGTCCTCTCCACCTTCGCTATCGCAGCAACCCCGATTCTTTCCCACTGCTTCCGTTCGAGGATTTTTTTCGCCCATCCTCTCGATCTCTCGTCTCCTCTGCCGCCCGCACTCTCACTCTCTCGCCGTTCATCTTGCTCAGACACCCCGGATCGACATCCCTTTTTCCACCTCGTCGCCGTTTTTCTATTTTTTTCGTCGCGTTCCCTCTGCCTTCGATGTTAGAACCGCCGGACGGGTCCAAACGTCCCGTCACCCCTTTCGTTCTGCAACCTACGCCAAAAGGCTATAGTATGGTACAACCCCCTCATTATAACGAACCGAAATTTTAAGGAAACGGGGGATAAAGGATCACTGTATATAAAATTTTATCTTTGTTGGTTTTTGTGAAACCTTTGATACAATACATTGGGTTCTATCTTCCTCGTTCTAGGTTAGGTTTCAATTAATATCCCATCAAAATTTCAGATCATTATGATAAGGAGGTCGCATCGTACTGAGTAACAGAACGAAACAGAGTCATAACTGGATTGCGGATTTTTGCGCAAAGATTTAGACATCTATTTCTTTGATAATTGGCGGTAAGTAGAGAACAATGTAGGTGATAGTAATTGCGCCTCGTGGAAAAGAGATCCATCGTTAGTAATCGGTTAAGAGTGATTCTTTGGATTTGGCTTATCTATGAGAGGAGAAATATGAACAGTATTATTAATAGTAACTGATTGTGAATTGTAAACAAGATCCAATCCAACGTCTGGTTCAAATCCAATTACTTTAATTTATCGATTCGTCTACCGTTTTTTTGTCACAAATCCGCAAATTCGAAATCCAACAACAATGTAAGACTGCAATCTGTTCATTAATTTTCAAAGCAGATGTCTCGGAAGACTTTGTTTTCAGCGTTGAAGTGGCAAGATCGCGCAAGCATTGCGAAATCGTGCAAAAATAGGATGGAATCTTTGTTAGCGGGTTATCGAGCGGACTCTTGTCTGCACGCGAGCGAGTTGATAGTCGGTGACACAGAGGAAAGACGCGGCCGCCCTTCCCGAGACAATAGAGCTGAACACGCTAGAGCAGTGCATCGATGACTCTGCCTCGGTGAGCAATCTCCTGTTCTAGGCATTATCACGGCGTGCGAAAGCGAGATCGTTGGCCATTTAAACTCGATTATCTTCGAATGAATCAAGCCACCGCGGAATTAAGTCGCGGACGCGCATTCTTTAGTTCTCATACGCATCGATAACGCCACGAGAATTGGAGGACAACTGTTACGGAATCGCGCGTCTGTAACCAAGTTCCAAACACATGTTGCAATTAACGCGAATCTCGCGCAAGATCCATATGAGAATCACTGGACTTTCCTCGAGGCCTGAATCGCGATCGACGCGCGCCGTCGATTTCGAATAACTACGCTTTTTGTCGTCGAGGCTATTAAAGTGACGAATTGCATACAAAACACTCTTGCGTGACCTAATTTTACGGTATTACGTGAGTAATGCGAGCTCCTTTTCACGTTTTCTTGCACGCGCTGCTCCGTTACCGACGACTTGCCCCCCAAAGTGTCGATCGACACGACAAGGCAGAATCACCGAGGTTCTGATCACTATTTCGTAGATTTTAGTTGTTTGTCAAGGTTTTGCAGCCAGCTATATCAGGGGTCTAAGGACACACTAATATCCATGTGCGCTTGAAAAGTACCATGTGGTCTAGTGATCAAGAATTTTTATTCGATCAACCGAGTAGTGACTTTCGAAATTTTAGTAGAAGACTGCCAGTAGTTTTTAGGGAGACGTGAGTATCGAAGAATACAATTAGAGAATGGATTAATGATACTTTACTGATTTGTAGATCCCCTAGAACAGCCTAAAAGTATGTAGAAGAAGGAGCAGGATTCCAGACGTAAGTCGAAAATCACGGAGCACAGGTATGCACGGATTGTTCAGCACAGATTCATGCGTCGGACAAATCAGCGTTTACGAACTGGTGGCTGTAACAATTAATTATCTTCGCAGCAGTGAACAGCAGAACCTGGACGTAAGATTATAAAACACAGGTACGTGTGACCAACCAAAGATTTACTGCAGGTAATCGTAGCTCTAAAATCCTGTCGTTTTACTATCCACTAGTTCTAATTGTTCGCTCATTCTAGCAAAATCCAAGCGCCAGTTGGAAATTGTAGGAAATAGGTATGTGGGACTCACCAGAGATCCGTGGAAAAACCTAGCTCTAATTACTCGCCGATAAACGTATCTACGAATACTACTTGTCTGTTCATTCCAGTAGGGCGTTGAAGTTGAAGATTTCGGATGTCAGCAATCGGAGAGTCAGAAACCACGAGAAGAAATTAGTTAATAAGCCGACGATCAAGGTATCCGCTAACTGTGATCGTTTACGCGAGAAAGTCGGCGACGACCGCGGAGCCAAAGGCGGGGGTTGCCTCTTGGCGAAGGACAGGAGGCAGGGGCGAAAAAGATGACGAAGTATTAGCGGCGAGGGAGATTTAGGGGGTTACCAGCGCGGCTTGACCGAGTAACAATCAAATAGGCTAGTCGTCCGCGTGACTAACCCGTTACCGCTGCTGCAGCTGCTCGCGAATTATCGATTCGCGAAAATTTCCCTCCGCCGGCGGACATGCGCGCGTTCGCGGCAACGCTCTCGACCCGAGAGATCACCGGAGGGAAAACCAGAGAACACGCAGCGAGATGTCCTTGGCGTAGGATACGCCTTCGCGCGTATGCGTATATCCGTGCGCAAGAAACAAGCCCGCTCCGGAGCACCGCCGTAACGCGGTACATGCGCCTTGCGTCTTTTCACCGTCCATCTAAGCATGTCGCGAAAACAGAGAGAATTTCGTGCGAATGTTCCTCCCTCGCCTGGCCGCCGATCCGACGTTAACTACCCCCCTTGTCGAGGATGCAAACTTGAAACGCACGCGAGACTTATCGGCGTTCCTCGAGGCCGAAGACAGAGTTTCGGGGCAAATTCGTAGCAACAACGCGAGATTAATGGATCGTCCGTTGATCACCCTCTTCGGCCTATTACCGCCTCTCTAGAATTCGGCGAGGCCGTTTTTTAATATACAGGCGTCCCATTTTAATTGTTCCCCTTTTTCCTCATACTTTTAGCGCTGATGGTCTCTTCGCATGGTCGGGGCGTTCGTCGAGTTTCTGCGGGAAACAGGGTGGGGATGAGAGATGAGGGGTGACGGGACACGGTCGGCTGATCGCGACAAGCAATTATAACTACTTTTCCACTCGAGATCTCGATGGTATTAGGTCGACGAAGGCTCGGCTCGGCTCGGCGCGAAGTCGTGCCCGAGGGGTGGCTGGTTCTCGTGAGTCTTTCTCAGCCTCTCGACCTCGCGGCCCGATCGAAGTCGACGGTGTGTAACGCGGCGGTGTGTCGCGACGAACCCAAAGCCAGCCCGGACCCAGACGCCTAAAGAAGGAGACGTATTCGGGTCGTTCTCGGCGAACGGGTCGGCCGTTTCGAATACTCGGCTGCCGGACGCGGGGATCTATACCGACGGAGAGGCCGATTTTTTCCCGTCTCCTCCTCTGCCTCGTACTCTCCCTCTCCAGCAGGGACTAGAGAAGCGTACCGAGCCGGGAGGATGGCGGTGACGAAAGAGAGTTTTCCGCGAGAGAATCGAGACGAGCACAGTTTGGAATCGTTCGAGGGTGGACTCGGAGGATATATCGGGGTGGGGTTTCACGGCAGCGCGAGGAACGAGGAGGGGAGACGCGGCGTCGTGGTCGGCGACGGTGGTGGAGGCAGAGAGCGGCGGGTCTCGTGGGGCGGAAGGCGACCGGCGGCAGCGTGTGTACCGTTGTTTTTAGCGAGGTGGCGGTTGGAGGGAGCGTGGCGAGGGTAGGGGAAGGGATGCGTCGAGGAGCTGAAAAGCGAGCTAGGGGTAGCAGCGAGAGACGGAGGGAGGGAGCATAGAAGGGAGAGGTCGAAGGGAAGGAAAGACAAGGGAAGGAGTGTCGTAGCGGGCGGCAAGGGCACCGAAAGAGTCAACCTACGGTGTAGGCCCTACGTTGCCGGAGTAGGAGTTGGTCGAAGGGTAGTATCCAGACGGAGGGAAGGTAGGTGCGGAGGTAGCTACCCGGACAGGGAAAAAGGAAGATGGCGGTCCTAGCGATACTTCGGCGTGGTCGCGTGGCCACGTTCCAATGCGCACGACGGTTTAGAACCGACCCTGTAACCATCCCTCTGCCCTTTGGTGACTACACCCTCTCGCGAGTAGTTTGCCCGTACGTTCGCAGAGCAAACGAGCAAAACCTTCGGCGGGACGCGACTCTGCGTTCTCCACGGAGAAAAAGAATCCACGAAAAAGCGGGGCCGCGCGGGGATGGTAGCGGGAGCGCGACCCTCGTGGAGGCTTCCTCCTTCGCCGACAGAGAGCCACCGATGATTGCGACTGCCGCGAATGCACGCACCGGAGAGGGACAGGCTTTCAGGGGAATCTTCGGAGGGAAAAAGACAGGGTTCGTTTCCCCTTTCGGGGGGTGAGTTAGGGGAGGTGCGGCAGTAGACAGGAAAGGGAGCGCGATAGGGGAGGCGATAGCACTGGGGGTGGAAAAGTAGCGCGACACCGGGCGCCGGAGCGAGATGAAAAGAATGGGGATGAGAGAAGGGGGTGGCCGGCTATAGGGGTGGGGGCGCGATCGGAAGGAGAATTTCGGGGCGTGCTGGTGTGTGTAGCTGCGTGCGTGTACGTACGTGTGTTTGCGTGCGCGCGCGCGCGATCCCCCGAGTTGGAAAGACAGAAAGGCCGAGGGAACGAAGGAGGCGCATCGAAGTTTCCGTCGTTCTCGCGAAGAGGGACTCTCGGTACGTTCGCTGTCCGATCCGCGCGCAGTTGCTGGTGCGCGGTTCAGGGGTCGGTGTTTCCGTGTCACGCGCACGACCCCAAAAAGTGTGTATGTGCGTGCGTGCGTGGCTCGGCCGTTCGTACGCCGCGTTGCAGGACGTCATCCTGATCGCGGTACGGTAAACGCGGATCGGGGGACCGTGGCGTGACGCCTCGCCTCTCGAGACTCAGGGCCCGAGAGACCTAAACCCGACACACACGAAGAGAGAGAGAGAGAGAGAGAGAGAGAGAGAGAGAGAGAGAGAGCGGCGCTGAGCTACACGCTGGGGACAGAAGGGAAAGGGGAAGGGAAGAATCGGTGGACAGATAGATACCGGGTCCCCGAGTGATCGTTGTCGTTCCCATCGTCGTACGTTCGTCGGGGCGCGAAAAGTGGATTCGTCGGGCACCCCCTTTCGAGCGTTCCAAACACCGCGCCCCGTTGTCGCGACCGTACTCCCCGTCGACGTCGTTGCCGACGTTGCCTCGCGGTAGAATTTTCTTCTTTCCGTGGACACGCGATTATCTCTCTCTCTCCCTCTTTCGTTGTCCGCTGCAACGGGGATTCGCTGCAAAGCGTTGGTGGTCGTGACGCGTCGCGCCGCGTCCACGGGATTCCGGCGAGAGGATGACGACGATGCTGTTGTGCGCTTAGGCGATCGCTGCGCGAGCGAGAGGGACGCGCGCGCGTGCCGAACATCAACCCTCCGCGTCGTTCGTCGCTGGGTTTCGCGGCCTCCTACACCGAAGGAAGGTTTCTCCACGACGCGAGGGACAGACAGACATAGAGAAAGAGCGAGAGAGACCGAAGAGAAAGAGCGAGAGAGAGGGAGAGAGAGTGGAGTCGACGCAACGAAACGCGAACGGAACGCGGTCCGGAAGGTGCGCCACCGTCCTGAGAGAACGGTGTCACGAGGAGCAACGATTTCGGGGACAGGACCAGCCCGTTCCTCGAGGCGACACGGCTCGATCGTGATCGTTAACACCCGCTGCGAACCCTCGAGGACCGATCGGATGCGACCGACGAGTTCGTCCGTTCGGTGGTTGTTCGTACAGTGGCGTTCGTCGGAGTCAGTTCGAGTGGAATCGTCGAGCCTCCTGGAAGGGAACGGTTGATCCGCAGCGACCGGAAAGTCTCGATCGATCCGCGGAAGGGACGCGGATCGCTCGGTCGCGACGAGGAGGCTGGCCCTCGGGTTACATCGCGGTGCTAACTACCCTGAGGAAGATACGTGCAAGGATTCCGGAGGGAGGGAGAGAGATTGGAACGGTCTTGCTACCGTCTACCGTTCGTGAAGTTGCCGTCACGGAGTAGAGGAGCCGTGCGCGCGCTCGGCCGCGCGCGCGCGCGTGCTCTCCCGCGCGGATCCTGGTGCGCGGTACCATCGCCGAGGGTTAAAAGCTATAACCTCACTTTCCCTTGGAACGAAGGAATTCGGCTGGTCCCAAGACCGGAGAGCCGAGGAAAGGGCCTGGGAAAACCCTGGCGAAACCAGGTCTCCAGTTCGTGCTAGAACTAGCCCCGGCAGCGGATAGTAGACAACGTTCAAGCCGGAAAGGAGCGACGGAAGAGGAGATCGCGAGAGGATCGGTGGGGTTGCTAAGCCGCATAGGACAGAGGCCAAAAAAAGAGAGGAGAGTCGGTTCCCCTAGAGGATAGAGTACCGCAACGAGGTCAACCAGCGGGAAGAAGAAACCGAGCTCGGGTGGACCAAGAGAAGGTGGATACTCGGCTACCCGTGGCCACTTATCGAGCGGGTGTGTCCATGAAGTCGACGCAATGGCAACGAGCTCGCGAAAGGCTGCCGGTGACCCGTAGACCGTCAACTTTGTCCCCATCCGCCTGGTCGTCGGCTCTGCCGTCTGCGTGGTGGTTGGTGGCACGGTGGGACGCGTTGCCGCGTGGCCGGCAAGCGTGATCATCGACGACGGCCGGAGGGTACGCAGGAAAAGGCGTCTAGGATGCAGCATGAACCTCGGTGCCTCGTCGCTGGAGCTGGTGAGCTTCGGAAGGGGGATCACGGTGTCCAGGTGCTTTCGCCGGTCGAGAGGTCTCGGGTCCCCGTTATCCTCGGGACGGGCAGCGGCTTCGTCGCCGTCGCCGTCACCGTCAGCAGCGCTGCCGGCGCAGCGGCAGCGAGTGTCGTGGTGCTCGCGCTGGTCACCGTCCTGCTGGTCGTACGGCTCGAGAGCTGCCGTTGTCGGGGTGTACGCGGATCCGCGACGGTGCCGGAAGTGGCGGCTACCTGGCAGCAGACCGCGCGAGATCGGCTGGGCCGGGATCGAGATCGGGACAGAGTCGGGGACAGGAACAGGGACAGAGACAGGAACGAGGACCGAAAGCGAGACGCGCAGGATCCGCAGAACGAAACCGGTTGCGAGGTCGTCGTCGAGGGAGGTGCACGACACGAGGTGTTGGTGGTGCAGGTGGCGCGGCCGCAGGAAGAGGAGAAAGCGGTGGATCATCGTCGGCGAAGGAGGCGGTGGCACGAGGGTCTCGAGTGCGTCGAGTGCGCGGTCACGCCGTTGTTGTTGCCGTTGCTGTCGCTGCCACGCGAGTTGGCCCACGGCCTCGGTTCCGTCGCGGCCTCCGTCGCGTTCGAGATCGCGGCTCGCGGACCTGCCGCCGACGCGCCCCCGATCCTCCAAAGAGATCGTCGTGGTCGTCGCCGAGGAGGAGCTGGTGGTCGCCTGCTCCAGGGGGACTTCTAAGGGCCCCGCCGACCCGGGCCGCTCGGACAGTTGTCACCTGGCTATCGGCTCCGGGATATCTACGAGCGGGGCTGACATCATTCACGAGCCGTCTCGAGAGGAAGATCGTCTCGACTGTCCGCGAGAGGAACCCGACGGACCTGTCATCGTCGTCGACGGTTCGGTTGCGTCGTTCTCGGTGGATCGGTCGTCGCACGGGGAACAATTGGAACAAGGGTCACAAGCGGCACGCGGATCGCGATCGATCGCCACCGATCCGCGGCTCCCGATCCACAGAGGCTTCCGGCGGCGGGTTCGCGCGGCGTTGTCGACGGCTTTTATCCGTCGCGAGGTTATCGTCGAGGGAGCGAAACGCACGACCACGGCCCGCGCATCCAGCTCGGGAACGAGATCGGGATCGGGAACGGGAACGGGAACGAGAGGGATCGAGAAGAGGCAGCAGCAGACGCACGGGGCAGAAATCGGCCTCGAGCTTCTCTGGCAGCGATGCGGGACCCCCTGCGGCAGCGACCGGACGACGACCAGCAGCAGGCACGCGATCGCAGCAGACCACGGTCACGCGAGTCCAGCTCCGAGAGACCAGCTCGGGATCGCCCTCGGCACCACCACCGGCATCATCGGCTGCGGCTGCGACTTCGACATCGACTTCGACGTCGCCACCGTCACCGGCGGAAAAGCTACGCGGCGAGAACAGTGGCGATCGTCGGTCCTGGATCTACGGCGTGGATCTACAACAACGGGGACGATCACCGGGACGACCAACGGGGGACGCTAGCGTTCCCGAGCTCGTGCCCATGCTGCTCGATCCACCCGGTTTCACGGGACCACCCACGTCTAGCCGGCGAAGACGCAACCGATCAACCGAGCCTCGTTCGTCTTCTTCGAGCTCGTGCCCCGTCGTCCGAGAGGAGAGATCGATTAGCCGCAGCTCGTCCCGCGTCCGCTCTCGCCCGCCCGAAACCGGGAACGCCACTGCCTTTAACGTTTCTTTCGATTCTGTTTCTCTCAGCGTGGCGAGAAACGTCGCGAACGCCACCGGGACCGACGAACGGCGACGCTCGGGATCTCGACGCCTCCGGAACACCAGAGATCACCGATGGTCCGTTAATCGCCGAGAGGGCGGCGACACCGAGGACAGCGACGTCCGTTTTTCGTCAACGTCGCGACGATCGGGGTCACGGTCCTCTCGCCGCGGCAGCAGCGGCGGCAGCTGCAAGACGCCGACGACACGGCTCGTTGACAGAAGGGAAAAGGATCGAGGCGAAGCAACATCAGGAACAGCCGGCGAGGAAGATGAGGAGGAAGAGGAAGAAGAAGAAGATGAGGATAGAGAATCGTCAAAAAGCACCGTCGCGGACGTCACGAGCGTTCCTTCCGTCGACGCGTCGTTCGCTTACACTGCCTACAACAACGCCAAGAACGAAGCCGGAAGCGGTCGCGACGTCCAGGCGCCATGCCGCGAGATCGAGCTTGCTCGCGATCAGGATAGCGATCGGGATCGCGACCAGGAGGAGGAGGAGGACTTTCGGGAACGATCGAAGAACGGTCGGGCGGTTCGCGACGCGAAACGGGGAGAGAGCAGTGATAAGGTGGTGTGGCTCGATCGCGAGAACGAACGTTTCCCGCGGGGTCCTAGGGCCCATTTCCGTCGAGGCTCGTGCGTTCAGCCGGAGAACGGGTGCTGCGGGACTACAGACTACACTGCCCGGTTCCAGGAGCCGACTACCAATGAGAGGCGTCCCAAGGACGAGGAGCTCGCGACCAGCGGACCAACCAAGGTGTCCGGCTCCCGTGGCAGGAGCTACGGGCTGCTGTTCGTCTTGTATCTGCTCGCCTGGCCGCTGGCGTGTTCGACCAATCCCTCCGGCCAGTTCGCCTCGAGATTCGCCCGGAACCCATCCCTCGGTCCCGCCGACGAGATGCCCCGGCACAACGTCACGCAGATCTCGTCTCTGTTGTCGTCGTCGAGCGTCGTCTACCAGCCGACGCGGCAGCAGCACCTTGAGAGGGAACGATACGTCCAGGACGCGGTGTACAGCGAGAACGAGAAGAAGAAGAGCAGCGGCGAGACCGTTGGGTCCGTCGTGGGGTCCGTCGTTGGACATCGTCGGCACGGTCGCCGCGAGATCCAGGTTCAGCAGACTCGCAGCAGCAGCAGCAGCAGCAGCAACAGCAACAGCGGTGGCAACAGCGGTAGCAGCAGCAGCGGCAGCAGTAGCAACGATCAACAACGAGAGGCGACCGAAATCGAGGACTCGTATCAGAGCCACCAGCCGGACCCAAAGCTGCATCCTTACAACGAATACAGCTGGGAGGTGAACCAGATCAATCCTTGGCTATCGGCCTGCGACCTGGCAGGTCCAGCGCCGGCCGATCTTCAGGGTAGCTGCGGTCCACCGGAAGTACCCAAGAACTGCCCGGTCCCCTGCTCGTCGAACGGCACGAATGGTAGGGCGAAGGTGAACGGCGTCGACGCCGTGTTCCACCAGGTGATCGAGAAGGTCGAGGTCGCCGAGAGACAGTCCTGGTCCGCTGCCGGAGGACCCGGTGCTAGTAGTGGTGGTGGTGGTGGTGCTGGTGGTGCTGGTGGTGCTGGTGGGAACGTCCAAGGGAGGAACGAGGGTGGAACCGACGGTCAAGAGAGACCCGAGGGCGTACGGAACACGGCTCCGGAACAGTGCCTTTTTTATCTCGAGGAGTCGCATAAGAAGGACGTCTGTCGGGATGATTTTGGCCGGAGCAGTACGCGAAGTTTTTCAACCCCGAGGGAGAATCGATATTGGTTCGTGAGCGGGTTGCGTCTGCGGCACTGCTGCGAGCACGCGGTGGTCAACGCCCTGGCACCCGGCAAGGGCGGCCCGTTCGAAAACGTGCTAAACGGTGGCTCAAAGTGTGCCGATGCCCTGGACAAGCTGTTGCTCGTCGACAAGCTAGCCGCGAGGCTACATTGTGAATTCGAGGAAGTGCTGGCGCGGTACGACTGCGCCCAGCCCTATTCGGTCATCTTCAACTGCACCCATTGCAAGGTAAGACCCTCTCCGAACACCTTTCTTTTTCTCTTATCGAAGAAGTTTCAACCGACCTCTGCGTCCTCCGTTCTAACACCTCGAAACGTGCTCCGTAAAAGTAAAGAGACTCGGCGTTTGGTATTTCGTTGTTCTTTATAGTACCATCAAGCAGAATCACAATTATCCAAAGCAATGAGGGCATAGATGTTCGAATAATAGAACAGTGACATAGTTACAGTGCTCAGAGACCCCTCAAATCGTGCGCTAGGAAAGGAACAAGGTATTAGATTCACCCGAACGTTCGTATCGTTTTCAACTATATTGCAAACATTGCAATATACAAACATTGCTATATATATTGCAAACATTGCGAATCCAAAATGTTTAGTAGCTGATGAAACATTTAACATCTATTTGAACATCTTCAGATTGTCCAATAACTTAACTGCGGCACAAAGTTCAAACTTCACCGATCTTCCGATGTCCGACGTGCCCATCGATCAAATGCATTTCCCGCGTAAACAGTTCACGTAGAAGTGATCCGATTCTGTTGTATAGATCAATAAAGATCTAGCACTGTAACTGTGACAATAGATTTTTTACGTGGACAGCTGCTTTGTAACTTCTAAAGTATCATTTAGGGCGGTAGAGTTTTGATTCTGCGAAATTCTATAAAGATAGGGGATGATCCGTGGATCGAAAATGTCTGTGCGTGCGGAAATTTCCTAGTTTCCGGTTGAAGGATTCAGAAGGGTTTGAAACTTTTTCGATCGCTCCTTTTTTTTCTAACAATCCTTGTGCACCGTTCCAGCCAATTCGATCGAATTTCGAGAAATTCGAGGCACTACGAGGATTTCGTTCCATCCGGCCACACGAACGTTCGCGCGTGGTTGCGGTCGGGCGAGTCAGTTTTTTATGCCTAAGTGAACGTCGAGGATGCGACTTCATTTATAAGATATTAACGCGGCATTTACGTGAACCATGCACAAGGGTCCGTCTTTACGCCGCGAAACATCCTTGCAGCGAAGCGGGTGTCCCCCTTATCCTAAGATTTCTCGAAGGAGTTGCGCATAGTATGCATATATACGGCGATGCCCCCGAAAGAGATTTTTCGTAGCTCTTGAAGCCGTCTAAAAAGGGTAAAAAAGCCGGCATCACCGTAAGGCGGGCGAAAAGTTTTTGTTAAGCGAGGCTGCCTCGTAATTACATAGTCTGCGACCAAGTTTCTTTAACCCTTTGACTGCTGACCAACGGAAGCGAGGCGGAAACCCCTCGCAAAGTGCCACCGTTGGTTATCATTTCTAAATGAATCTTTCCTCTTAATATTTTCCATCGACGGCAGCGTTTATAAAACGTTTATGCGTTCATCGCGGAATGATTAGTAACGCGAGCTGCAACCGGGTACGATAGACGTTCTTATAATCATTTAATAGTGCCCATTAAGACGATCTTTTTCGCAGTATATTTCAGCTTCAGAATTAACAGCCGAGGAAATCATTTTTGCAGCTCTATGCAGCAGAACAGTGCGGTCAACACTGTTCCAATTTATGTTGTAGTGTCTGTTCAAAGGCAGATAACAAATTGGATCGAAATAATTAATTATTCCATTGTGAAACGTAAGGTCGCTCTCAAGTCGTCTGAAATTTTTAACAAAATGTTATCTGGAACACTTTAAACGTATGCACGTAATCGCAATGATTAGACTGTCGATATTTATGCATTTACGAAGTAAAGTTGCATATCAACAAAATGAGACAACAGTTTAATTGCACTCCTGTTTCGATCAAATTCTTTCGGAGTTCGCACAGAGAACCGCAGGTATTGGATCGAGATGTGAAACAAAATCGGAGGTAATTAAAGAAGTTCGCAGAAGGGTTTTTCGAGCAGCGCGGGAACGATTTTCTGAGAATTTTCGGAAGAGCCTGGACGCACACGCTCGTAGAACTGCGAGACGTCGGCTGTCTCCCGTCGAATCCGTTGTAATTTCCTCTCCCACTTGTCGCCGTCTCTTCCGTCGGCTACGTTATTATTGTCGAGTTTGAATAGTTCGCGGCTCGGCGATGCGTTTGTGTCGAGGAATTAACGTCTCGAGCCTCCCCGGCGGCGATTCTCGCGGGATCCTGCCGGTTTTCCGGTCTTCCGCGCGTCGATTCCTCGCCGTTAACCGCGTAAACGAGCCATTGTTTCGCCAGCGAGGATGAACTCGTGGAAAGAATCCGCGACAAATTACAGGGGCGGAGAAACGAAGCTGTCCAGAGTGGCGTGGTGAGAGGAGGAGGGTGAGGGGGAGGGGGGTAGATAGTTGGAATCGGAATCAGAGCTTTTGTTCCGAGCAGACGAGAACAAGTCGCCAACATCGTCGTCTTGCTCGCTTGCCAAAGCTGCAGCTTGCGACTGCACGCGATGGATGCAACGCCGGCGAACGACCTCTCCAGCAATCAACGCTAATCAACGTTTCGGCAAGCAGCAAATCCTGCAATTAGGAACGGATTCAACGCGTCTACCCCCGCCTTCTTTTCTCCTCTTATTCTCCACTTACGATCCCGCTGCTCTCGAAGAGGCCTGCCAAGAAACTCTTTGTCCCGGGACGCGACGAGTGTCCCGAACTTGCTGGAATTCCTCGCACGTACCATTCACCCTCCACCGTACCACCCCGCCATGCCCCTAAACGCCACCGACACCGAATTTTCTTTCTTCCCGCAGCCAGCGGACGATATCGCGACCGATACACGCTGATTCGATCATTTCGGCATCGGGCTGTTGGGTTGTTAGCTGTTTCCTTGAGCTAGCCTTTCAATTCGTAACGAGCTGACTATGGTGAACGAATTGTCCAGACTGTTTTAGGGGTCACAATGTGTCCTATCATGATACGAGGGAATTTTTGTTGGACATACGTGTGCTGCTGCTCTCTCTCTCTCTCGCTCGCTCGCACCTCTCTCTCCCCCTCTCTTGCATTTTCTCTTCTCCATTTTGGATGTCGACTAGTTTCTGAGCTGTTCTTTTATATTTCTGTACTATTTCATTTCACGTACTCTTGAGCTTACTTCCCTGAGGTCAGTGTTCAATTAATTTTTTTGTTGGAGGTAGCTTGAATAGATACTGATTTTAACTGGCTGTTAGGATGTAGAATTTCAATGGAACGTTTGTAATTCTGGATCTATGTGGATCCTGCCACAAGGTTTAGATTAATTGTGTGTGTGTGTGTGTGTATGTGGTTTAGATTTTTAGGATTTTATTATTAGAATAGGTTTTTAGAGAGAGATTAATTGGTTTCTCTTATGGAATACTTTATAGCAATTTTTACATGTATGTGAAAATGAGTAGTTCAAAAATTTTAATATATTGTTGCGGTATTTACTTTGGTGGAAATAAATATTTATGCAGGCAGTTTTCTCAGTAGACTGCGTATCTTCGTGTAAAATAGAAATTATCCAGCATGACTATAAGAAACAGAAATTAAATAAAAACAAATCGTTTCTTTTAATATGTCTTCACAATTTTGTATGTATTTCGAATACCGATCTTGCCATAAATGCATAAAATTCGCAGTCTAGTGATATCTAGGAAAATAAGAAAAATAAAGGAAATATTGTTTGAAAAGTACATTCTATAACAAAATAAAATACAACTGAATTCATTGGCCCGAAATCGCAGGAGTTGAAAAAACAGCTGATCAGCCCCAAACAATTGCTAGTACTGGAGCACGCAATTATAGTAAAAATACTTATTAAAAGTACTCTGAGAAATAAAGAAAGATAAAAGTGCAGTGTAAAATAGAACAGAAAAATTCTTGAAATTGTTGTGTTTAAATTAAATATTGAATCTATTGTTACCTTCGAATCGTAGGCGTTAAAAACAGCAGTTACACTATAATCAGATCATATTATTTTTGTTTTAATACATTTTTATTTTAGTTCTAATACACGAACAGTATTATCGCGGTCATGTGTTCGGTTACCCGACTCGCAGACGGTATTAATAATGCCAAAACTCGAAGCAGAAAATTAATTAAAGGATTAAGCGGCAATTTTAGCAGGATATATATATATATATATATATAGAGAGAGAGAGAGAGAGAGAGAGAGGAAGAGAGAGAGGGATCGTTGCGAGGGTGTTAGTGGGTGGTCTGGCCTAACACGACCAAACTTCCGGTACCTTGCGGGCGACACTTTCCATCGGTTATCGAACAGAGAGAAACCCGGCCTTGTTACTCGGCAATTAATCGGCAATCTCGATCGGCCGGCGAAACTTGTCGGAGTGGGGGAAAAAATGAATTGTTAATTGGCCGGTGGCCGCGATTGTTCGCGCGTAGCGAAGTTTATGACGGGGGATTGCTCGTTACCCGCTCGTACCCGGAAGATACTCGACTCGGAGCGGAGCGGAGAGGCGCGGCGGGCAAGCGCGCAAGAGCAGATCATTTTCAGATTGCCGTATTATCGGCGCTCGAGGTTCGAGCGTGAAGTGTTTTCGAGCGGATCGCGTGGACAGAAATTCGCGGAAGAAGAGCCCGCTAGACTGATGCCAACTCAAGCGGGATATCGATTTAAACGATTAGCGCTGCCACCCCCGCACCTCCGCGTCGTTTGCGCCACCGCGAAGTTAATGCGGAATTCGGATCGCGTCGCGTTTTATACTGGCCGACGCTTCGACTCGGATCGCTTCCGGTCTCCGGTTTCATTTAAGCCTCCATCTTTCTCCGATTTGTTTCGATATCATTCACAATCGGACCTTTATGCAAAACAATCAATTTCCTCAATTGCAAGGAACAAGAATTTGTTTAACGGCACCTCAGAGACTGATGCACGCCGATTTTAATGAAGCTTAGCACAAATCTTCATTAAACTTGCTCTAAGATGTCAGACTTATTTAGCACTTGTTTCTAGTAAATTCCGAAAAACTACGTGGCATTAATTCTGCCATTCCTTCTACTATCTTCGTTACATAGAATGACAAATATTAATAAGTAAGTTCTTTCTAAATATAAGGATGAAGAAAATATATTGTTCGACTGGAAATAA